TGGCTCACAGGTAAACAGGCTCAAATGGTATATTCTAGCAGCAGATGGCATGAGGACAAGTTATTTCCTCCTTATTGGAGTTTACAGATTTCTGTGGTGTCATATTCTTGTGACTGAGGCTGCTGCTGATGACTGATCATAGAAAGAATGTAGCTCAGTAGTCTCTGTTTGCTCTTCTTTCCATCCGCCAGATTTGGTCCCATGTTTTTCTCACGCTGTAAAAACTAAAGGTCTCTGTTTAAAAATCTAAATATATGTTGGTTGTGTCTGTGCAGGTTGACCAGCGTGTGTTCAAGGACCTGATGAGTGAGAAGCTGCCCCGGCTTCATGCCCACTTTGAGCAGTACAAGGTAGACTTCTCCCTCATCACCTTTAACTGGTTCCTGGTGGTGTTTGTGGACAGTGTGATGAGCGACATCCTCTTCAAGATCTGGGATGCCTTTCTGTATGAAGGTCCCAAGGTAAGAGGCAGAGGAGAAAGTAAAATCATGGTCCTCTAATGCCACACAGCCAGATGTCTGGACATGCTAAGAGTTCTGAAGGAGTCTAGAAAATGAGATAAGGAAACCGTATCTTAAAATAAACCTTATAAATTGTAATGTAGACATTCAGTGGCTTTTTGCATTCCTCTATCGATGTTTTCTGTAAAGAAGTACCCACGGGTGCTGGCTTATTGGTCAACCCACTGTGTCTCCAGCCTTATAACAAGCATTTGTGTTTGAGGTTCTCCAGACTTCGGTTAGCCTGACAAGTTGGAGTTATGGCTATGCAAAATTAAAGCTCCACTATTTATTATGTTTGTGTATCTATGTATTGTCTATGTGTAGGGGGAAGTGGGCACTCATAGTGATTATATTATCACCCAACTCTTTACTTTTTTTAACCTATTAAACCTTATTGATTTGGTTTTACAGCCCAGAAAGCTTACAAAATGACTTGTATTTACCTGGTGGACGCAAGCAGGACTCCAAATGAATGCTTATGTTGAATGATGTGCCTGCCGGATGTGTAAATAGCTAATTGTTTGCTAAAATGTTAGCCAAATCAACAATGTGTTGTTTAGCCTGTAGGGTAACTCTGCCCTTAAGTTGTACAAAAAAAATCAATTCATGCAGCACAACCCTGCAGTAACTGAAGTTTGGCCATTTGGGGGCAGTGGAAACAAGCGATTTATTTGGATTCATGGTTTTTTTGGTGTCCACTCTCTCCTGAGGGGAAACATCTGCCTTTTTAGCTTCTAAATGCTCCACTATGTTCACCAGCTTATTGCTAATTTTGTCTGTCAGCTGGTTTGTTGGACAGATTGCGTACAGTGAGTTTTAACAGCTTTTTTGTGGAAAAGCGCTACCTGTTGTGGCTGAGAATAACCAAATCAGAGCGGTGACAACGAACCCCAACAGTGAAGTTGTGGGCCATAAAAACCAAAACACTGGGTTAAAAAATGCTTGCAGAGTTGGGTGATAAATGAAAGGATTGATTATAGCTACTTTAAGATCTGTGGTGGGAATTACAATTATATAAACTGCAGTATCAGCTGTTAACTCGGTAAATAAATGGCTTTTGCCTCATACCAAGACATAAGTACTATACTGTGCTGCATGTTGAGAGGAATATAGTTCACACATTCCTCTGAAAATGATAAATACTGCCTTTAGTCTTCTATAGAGGTGTTGCGTGTCAGACATGTTATGGTGTATAGTCACACAGGGCAAGTCACGAATTCACAACTTTTTCTCTACAGATCATATTTCGCTTCGCCCTTGCACTCTTCAAATACAAAGAGGAGGAGTTTTTGAAGATGCAGGATTCCACAACCATCTTTAAATATCTTAGATACTTCACACGCACAATCCTGGATTCAAGGTACACTAGCTGCAATATGTTTTCATGTTTGAAGTGATGTGAAGAAACTTGGACAGTGTATCTGCAGTAACATGATGCACCAATTAACCTTGGAATAGATGATCATACCTCCTTGCTGTGTGGCTGGTGTACAATAACCAAGTCTTCTACAGTCTGAGTTTTGCATCTGATAATGTTGCAACAAGCATTAAAGTTAATCAGTAATGATCAGTCTTTGAAAGTAAACAAGAGAGGAAGTGAGAACATTTACAGGTCATTCTCCTTGTGATAATAAGAGCCCGCTCACAACAGTAGGGCAGGATCAGGTTCATTACCTGATCCAAATAGTCATAAATTGTAAAAATTAACTTAAAACAATATTCAAAACAAGGACAACAGAATGTCAAATACAGTATTTCAGTACGTGGGAACAGAACAGAGCATGCACAACATTAGACAACCATTCCGCACTGACAGGCCTGCTTCTTTTTCCGTCTCTTTCTTTCCAGGAAGCTGATGAACATTGCTTTTGTGGACATGAACCCATTTCCCATGCGTCAAATCCAGAACCGCCGCTCCTTCCACCTGGAGAAAGTCCGTCTAGAGCTGACCGAGCTGGAGGCGATCAGACAGACCTTCCTCAGGGAAAGAGAGACAAGTCAGGACAGACGGAGCTTTGCCAGCGATGATGAGGAGGATAACTGACCTTAAGCTTGTCACATTTGCCGGCCTTATGGCTGAACTATGAAGACAAAGAGAACATCTCTGCACACCTACCGACATGTTGCAGATGTAAAGGGATTTTTCCTCAAGAATTGTCATAGTTGGTCTCCGAATCAGGGCCGGACCAATCAACTTTCTGTACAGTTTTAGTAAAAGTGTATCAAGGACCAAAATATTACATGCCGAATGGGCTTTCTATCAGTATTCCTGCCATTTATTTTTTGTAAATGCCTTATTTGTTGAATGCTTGTGTGTTTATGTGACAGCAAAAACAACGCGCTTTGTCCACGGTTCTTCAACCTTCAATGCTAAACTACACTCTCGCAGTCCGAATCAGTATTTTTTTTTGTTTTTTAGAACATGGCTGAGATCTTTTAATAGTTGGCAATTTTATGTCTGTTGAAGGAATGAATGTATTTCTTTCATACTCTTGTTTTCATCAGAATTCAGATTAAGTTTTGGTTTTCTTTCTCTGGCTTCACTTCATTTCAGAAATGTCTTAAAAATGTTTACCAAAATTTTTTCTATATTTTTCACATTGCCACTCATCAACACATCTTTTATGTTTGATCCCTATGTCTCTTGATGCACTTGAATCACTTACGCTGAAATTCAAACTCTGCTGGAGCTTAAAATTTAAGCCTTTGGAGCCTTCTGATCACTAGGTCGTTCCAAAACCATATCATTCCAGCCTGTAGGGGTTTAAAATGAATACACACAACGATTTACCATTCAGATCAAATAGACACACCAATTGAGCCCTCATACTGTCAGTCACTTTTTAAATTGTTAAGTTATTTTAGCACCACTTTATTACTCTTACCTTTTCCAAAACGTATGTCTAAAAAGCTCAAACTGTTTTGCACCTATGTTTGTAAACCAAAAGAAAAAATTGTCCAACGGCCACTGGATTTGGTTAGGAGAGTGTTTGAAATTGGCACTGACATCAAACCCCATGTCAGTGGATCACAAATTACCTCATTATCTGACTATTTTATTACAACTATTATAAAATCTGTGTATTAAGATATTTTGATTTGCCTTATAAAAACCCTGCCTAGGAGTGCTGCTCTTAAGTGTAATATTTTTGTTTTAGTAACATCTGAATTTTCCAAACATTAGTTGGGATTGTTAGGTGTTCATAGGATTCAGTTTCCCCCTGACCAAAACCTGTTTTGCAAGATAAACGGTACATGGATAATGCTGGTATTCCTGTTCTGAGTCGTCTGAAAATGCTGATGTATTTGCGTCCATTGTCCTCAGTGTGGCAGCATTTGTCTGCCCAGTGTTCATGCTAGTTCCATACAGTCTATGGCTAGTTCACATATACCTTCCACACAGCATGGTTTTAACGTTTATTATACTGAGAAGTCAGTGCGGGGACATGATTGTTGTCGAAATTGTAAATGTGATTTTTTTGTGACATGTCGCAAAATATTTCAATCTTCCACATCCAGGTACTTACAGATGACGGTTTAATCTTTATAGATTTCCACACATCAACAATAGCTTAGAAAGAAACCACGTTTAGATATGGTCGATCAGCAGTGTAAAACCGTTGTTTAAATGGGAATCTGGGAGTTTTTCACATTTAGCCCCTTCTCTTGCGTTGCTGATATTGTTTACAGTTTGTTATAACTTTTAATTTCCTTAACTTTAAGCTGTTTACAGAAATGTCTTTGTTAATTACAGAATTGACTGCCTTTTCTTTGCTTGTCAGGCACGGCAGAATAACGTTTGGTTGGTCCACCTGACCCGTGGTTGTTTTGATGTTGGAAATGTGAATGGAAAAAAAAATGAAACTGAATTTGTTTTTCTTCATGGGAGCAGGTCTCTCTAGAGATCAAAATTGTCAAGCTTGATCGGTTGAAGATAAAGTTTTCTTTGGTCCACTCATTTTGTCAAAGGGCTCATATAGTAGTTTTTAGTGTTGACTTATCATATTTCAATACACAACTTCTGTTCTATGGCTATTTTGCATAAATATTTTTTTGTTTTTTGTCAGATTAATTTTCACATTGAGTAAGCTACAGTTAATGTTATCGTCTTTTCTTTGTCTTTTTCTCTTTCCTTCTTTTGCTTTTTTCTAGCAATGTATTGCACAAGTGTAGGTAGAACATGACTTCAGAATATTATTGGGCACTTCACTGTATTGTACGTAAATCTCTATGGTATATTGTTCATTGTTAATCTTTATCATTTAACGATGAAAAATGCAACGCTTTTATGTTACAGAAGTACACGCCACTATGTGTTTTTTTTTCAGTTCAGTACAAAAATTAAATAAACAGTGGCTGACTGTTGTGCTGGCTGTAGTAATTCTCAGTTCCTTAAATACTTGTTGTACTTGCTGGTCATCTTTATTGATAGCCTGCCTCGCTCATGCTGCAGTTTCATAATAGAGCCATAGGGGGGAGGGACTTCTGCAGACACAAAAGCCTGATGGTGCTGCCATAAGTAACAGAAAACAACAGAGACGCTAAAAGAGCGGTTTTGTATCTGAACTGCAGCCATGAGGACACCAGACCAGCTGTAGGAGACGTGGGAAACGATACAAGCTTGTTATCAGCTCTGTGTCTGACAGAAAGGTAAGACATAAGGTTTGGCTGCAGTTAGTTTATGAAGCCACTTCAAGTGTGATGTGAAACTTACCAGATAGGAAGTCTGTGGTATTTCAATTTGTGAACAGCTTTTGTCTTCACATGTTATGTATGTATATACTTGTTCATTCATATAATCTACAATTAATTACTTTTCTATTAACTATATAGTGTTTTTATTAGTTGCAAAGTGTATGTAGCTGCCAGTGTCAGCCTTTTAACAAAACAAAATGTTTCACAACAGGAACAAATTTCAGAGATAGACTGACCTAATTACCCGAAAGGCTCTTTTCTGTTAATTTGTAATCCTGTTATAATCACAGAAAATAAACACTGTTATACTGGCCAGCTGAGCACAGTTGTATGAGTTATACAATATTACATTTTAAAGCCAATAATCTGTATTTAGACAACTGAAAGACAGACCAAGTGTGCTTTTTATTTCCTTTGCTGGTCAAGTTCTAGTGTTTAGGCTTTCTCAACAGGCAGGTGAAAGCAGGTACAAATCTGAAATGGAATGCTATACAGCAAGCTGGAACATGTAGTAAATATTTTCATAGCTCCATGAAGAATTGAACAGGAACATCTGTTTGGATCAGCAGGGTTGGGCTTGTGGAGAACGGGAAGAAGACCGGCTTTGGTGGTGCATATCAAGGAGATAAATTCCATCAATGAAGACATCTGGTATGGCAGAATTCAAGCAACAGAATGTGGATGATTTCTATGAAATTGGAGAAGCACTAGGAAGGTGAGTATTTTTCAGAGTTTTTCAATGAAGCGTGGACAGGAAAAGATATTTAATTGCAGCTCATAGTGACTGTGTGAGTCAGAGTGTGATTCAGCTCTCGTCTGCATGCCTCATGATGCAGTGGTCCTTGTGCGTACATATGCAAACAGCTGGCTTGTTTAAGCTTGAAATGGGGAGTGTCGCTGTGTTTAAGGAGGTTGAAGTTTACAGCAAAAGATAAAGTTTCAAAAGTAAATGCACTCTAAGAAAACAAGCTCTGTTTTGCCATGATATGTTCACTCCAGGAACGATAATAAAATCTGATTTGGCGCTGGGTGGTGGATTGATGTGTTGAAGTTGAGTGTTGAGGAGGAGTGTTAATTAAGCTGTACAGAGTGACATCAATTAAACTGTGCCACTTGGGGAAATAAATTAAAGGAAGTTGGCATGGTGTAATATGGATTGAGGAAGCTACAAATCCATTTTGCACGGAAGGACAGCTTAGGCATGTGCACCACTTGCTAACAGACAGAGAGGGTGTGAAAGGATAATATACACTGTGTCCCAGTATTTACTGGTCGTTCACTTTACAGCTTCAATGACACACCCTGGTTTTGTGTCCAGAATTCACACTCATTCTCAGTCATTGCATTTTATATTGAAGATGCTGTCATTTTCAAATAAGGCACCATTTATAAGTTGCAGCTAATTGAAATTAAACTTTATTAATGGTCAAAAAAACAATGTTCTAATGCTTTACAGATCAGCTCTAAGCCATTAAAATGGACTTACTTTCTGGGAAAGAGCTGCAGAACTTCTGGACCTATATGCATTTATTAACAATTTATTAACAATTATATATTATCAGAATCCTTTATTAATGGCGTATCACAATCTAGAACTGCAGATGATTTTCCAACATTGTAGGAACCTTCCTGACTAATGAAGGACAAAGAAAGTGCCATACTGGGCACAACCTGGTAAATCAAAAGTTGTTCTTGTCAATTGCTTTTAATTCTAAGTATAAAAGATTAGTGAATAATTAGTGAACATTAATAAAGCAATAAGTTATTCTCACGCACTTTTGTAAAAAGTTTATTAAGTCCTTTCTTAAGTGTTCGTAAACCCTTTATATAGAGTGACTTATTGGAGACCAATACCCGTAAATAAAAGGAAATATATTTTATGTAGTTTAAAGACTGACATTATCACTGTGTTGTGGTTTAGCTGAAAACATGTTGCTTGAAAAGACGACTCAGCTGTGAGCTGAGCTTTGTATATGTTTATGAGAAGCTCGAAGCTGTGGTTAAAAGCCACAGATGCCTGCATCTGAAAACGAAAAAAGGTGTTTTCAGTCACAGAACGTGTCTGAGAATTTTAACACCAATTCAGCAGATTGATTTCTTTGTCTGTAGTTCTTCTGTCTTGTTGTGACAGCTTTGTAGCGAGTTTTGTAGGATGCAGCCCACCCCACCCACAGTTTGTGAGAGCCTCATGGCATCAGACCTCTCCACTATACACCACAGTGGAACTGTTACTCAATCGTCCACACAAGAGGGTGGGGAAATTTGATGAGAGTGGCCAAAAATGGATCTGTGGGAAGGTTCTGTGCAATATGGAACTGTTGAGCCATTTGCTAAAGGAAAATCAATTCATCATATGATTCCCCAATTGACAGCTTTTAATGTCACAGGGCCCCACTCAGTTGTACTTGTGTTTCTTTCTGCTATTGATGGAGAGTTTTGGTAAACCTATATGTAAAACAACCCTTGGCCTGAGACGCATATACTCACAACTGTACCTGTCTTACCATCTGAGTGATGACACTGATGATGACATACAGTGGGAAGTGTCACAGTGTGAGCCAACAGCTGCCATAGGCACTCCCGCAAGACTGGTGAGACTTGTAACCTATTACACAAGTGACTGCCAAGGCAAGGCAGAGAAAGAAAGGATTTATTGTAACGGTTTCGTGAAAACACCTAAGAATTACCTTTACTATAACCATTGCTAGATACTGCGGTGGGCATGAAACATTTAGTGAATGAAAAAACATCATCTTTGCTAGTCATTGTCAAACAATGACAAAAATTCACAGGATGCTCTGTTGGACAGGAAGTGCCATTTGTCTTTGCATGCCTCAACAAAAATAAAAGACTTCCTCCTAATTTTAAAATCTATAGTCTAAATACTGCACTTACATCATAGTTGATGAGAATCCTTCACAGGTTTCACATTGGTTAGTACAGAAAGTTGTAAGTCTGTGGTGTTTTAGCTTGCTACAGATGGCAATGTCAGTCTGTCAGTCGGTCCACCACTTTGGTCCAGACTGAAATGTCTGAGGATGAATCTTACTGACTTTGGTGTTCCTCTGATGTTTCCTGTTGCGCTACCATGGGGTTGACATTTGAGGTTTTTAGTGAAATCTCTCAACAACTAATGGATGAACTGCAGTGGGATTTGGTACATACATCCAAGTCCACTTCAGGATGAATTGTAATAACTTTGGTGATCTTAACTTTTCATTTAGTTCCACAGTCAGGTCAAATTATACCTGCAAAACAAACACAACATTCTCATAATTTGCAGCTGTAGGCTACTTTGTGTTTAGTGCTAATTAGCAAAAGTTAGCATGCTAACACACTAAAGTAAGATGGTGAACATGGCAAACATACCTGCTAAACATCGGCATTATAACATCGTCATTGTAAGCATGCTAAAGTTAGCATTCAGCTGAAAGTACCACTGTCCCTTCAGTCTCAGTTAGCCTGGCTAAAGACTCTTGTTATTAAATTACTCCAGCTGAATGCAGGAACACAGCAAAGGCCACACCACACTAAAGTGTTTCCGAATTTGTCTCAGGGGACTGTGATATTTGTATTTTCTAGAAATACTGGGAAGATAAGTGCAGAAAGAAATGAATTGGAGAAATGTTTTCAGTTTGCAGAAGTTGATTGTCTTTTTAGAGGATGCAGGGAGGGCAGTGATGCATACTTAAGGCCGCATAGAGCGGATGTGTTGAAGTGAAAAGAAGCAAACAGGTGCTGCTGATGAATGCAGTTAAGTGCTAGAATTTCTCCAAAGGGATTTACTGTACATGACATCTATAGCACGAGCAGCAAGCATGCTTGTACAAGGAACTGGACAAGAATGAGTGTAGTCAGCTCAGCTCTGAGGGCCAGACATTCCTGCTGTTGAGTGGGTGAAAAATGTGTTTATTCAGTGCAGCCTGATGGAGGGAACTCCATGCCGACCTCTTGTACACTGACATTTGTCAAGTTCCTGTTTGACAGGGGCTGACATCGGACCATTTCAAAACAAGTGGGACTCTAGAGTATCTTTGATATATTCTATAATATATATAAGAAGGTTGAGCTGCTTCTCCTTCACTTTCAATGTACAGATACTAAGACAGGGCTTGGCCAATTATGAATCTGGCTGTCTTTGTCAGGCTGCCCCAGAGATTGTTAGGTTGAGAAATGTATTTAAATATTGGGCCGGCGCCACTTGTCCAAGCATTCCTCCAACCTTAGCTGTGGATAATGACCTTCAGCTGTTGGAAGTGGAAACTCTGTGGGGAGATGGTACTTTCAGCACCACTGGCCGGCTTAGAGCTAAGACAGCCGGCACGCCTGGCCTGTTGTGGAATACCACTCCCAGCATCACTGCTCTCTCCACTGTTACTCTACACTTCCTAAGATCAATAGTTGTAAGGTAAAGCCCTTGGACTGACATTTGTGTTGTGCAGTTTCTCACATTTGGGCTATACAACAGCAATATCTGCAAGGGGTAATTCTATTCAGACTTGCTTAACAGGCAAATAAATGGACACAATTGCTGTTTCTGCCATGTGACAGCTCCTCCCCTCTGGGTACTTTATGCCTGTTTTTGCAAGTGGAATCCATTCAGTGACTTAGCCTCCCCTTCAGTTCACACTTTATTGTAGTCATCTCTAACAGGGTCAGACCTTCAGGGATGTTACAGGGGTGGAAATGTCCTGTGAATAGAGCAGATAGAGATTCCATGCTGCTGCTCTGCTTCAGGACCCCACCCGTCCTGTTTTTAGTTTTCCTTTGCAACCTATGAGTGACTCTTTGAAGACCATTGTTACGACGTATAGCCCTCCCCCACCCCTCTCTCCTTCTCTTTTGCATTCTCTGCTGGGTTGGGACATGTACACACTGAAATCTGATCTTGTTTTTGTTGCCGTGATATGAAGCATAATAATAACTTCCTGGGGCTTTGTGCTTAAGTAGGTACTGCTCTAATGCATACAATCAATTGGTCAAAAACATTCGTTGTTATGAGAAACTCCTGTACAATCAAATATGATACAATTCAGGTGCCCTGAAATTAATACTACTTTGTGTTTTGAAGCTCATAAAGTTGTTTTTCTTTTCATACTATGTCAAAGAAATGTTGGTTTGAATATTTGAGGCCCTCATTAGTGTATCTGTACTCGACTTCATAATATTGGAAGTTGTTCCGCATATTTTATCCTCCAGTGTATTACAGAATTATTGAAGGGCTGGGCTTGCATGGTGAAAGAACACCTCAGCAACTGTTGTTTTGTTGTTTTTTAGTTTAATAAAAAGTCTAAATCTCTTTAGTGGATCCATATGCTTTCGGACAGCTTTCATCCAGTAGCTTCTCCCAGCACTCCTCCTTTCCACTCTTCTTCCTTTTACCACTCCTCTGGGCTCAGCAGGCTTTTTCCTTCTCCCCAGGAGCAGCAGTGAGGTAGCAGGTGGAGATTGAGCCTGTGGGCTGGGGCTATTATTAGCCCACTAGACACCATGATGATAGTGGACACAGGCTGGACAGCCTCTCACAGCCACCCTGAAATCTCTGTGTGGACAGTTGTGTTCAAAACATGAAATGCCTGCCAGTTATTATCACTTTCCTCTCTCTCTCTGTTCTTTCACAATGTTTAAAAATACACAGTGTCTTTATTGCATTGAAGAATTTGCAGTCCACAGACCTTTATCCATTCATCCTAGTCACTATTCTGTATACATACAAGAATGAATGTTCCCCTTCTGTCTTCTGTCAAAGATAACGTTCATCTTCCCCACTCAGAAACTTTTTGCCAGCTCTGCCACCACACCCACCCTCATGTGTTACAGAGGATCGGTCGAGGGCTGAAAACAGGCTTGTTTTCAGAATCTGAATCTATAGAGTGGGCAGGTCAGCCAGCAGCAGCAGGAAGCGTGTAAAGCAGCAGGAGTGGCAGCAGGCTTAGTCAAGTCTGAGATTACAGGTGCTGGTCTGATAATAAAGCCATGGAGATTCACCACATATATTTAACTGGGCGACAGTGCAGGAGGATGTTTTCACACTTCTCATTCAGTCTCTCAGTGGGTCACATATTAGTGAAATGACTCTTTAGTTATGCCAGGGGAGAGTGGCAATAAAGGAAAAAGTTTACTGGTAGAGTCAAGCATGCAATATAAGAGCACAGTGAAAAGTGAAAGAATAATCCACAAAATGATAGCCTCTAAGCACACACCTCTGTTGTGAAATAATCAGAGTTTGGGGGATTGTATTCAGTGGACTGATCTCTCAAGGATGGCTAGAAATTTGTCAGGAAGGTTGCTTGATTGGGAGGACAGCAGCTCTGTCCACATTGCCAGCTTGTCTGATTGTTCTCTGTCTTGCTGGAAAACAGGAAGTGATGGACTATACCTCAATATTTCAGCTAGTTTTGACATTCGGCTTCCTCCCTGACGTCTGTCTTCACCAATAGCTATATCCTGTTGTTAAGTGCTGTACCTTGAATAATTATACCTATAGAATACTCAACACAAGAGACGACAAAACTTAACACATAGTAGTAGTAATAGTGATGAAATCTGTGGTTATGATTAGAGGCACAGTATTTATCATATAATGATGGCTGATCTTTTTTTCTTCTTCTTCTGTGTCTGCAGTGGGCAATTTGCAATTGTCAAACACTGTATAGAGAAGAGTACAGGGAATAAATATGCAGCCAAGTTTATCAAGAAGCGCCAGAGTCGAGCCAGCAGACGTGGTGTAAGGAGAGAGGAAATCGAGAGGGAAGTGGACATCCTGCAGCAGCTACATCACCCCAACATTGTAGAGCTACATGATGTGTTTGAGAACCGCACAGACGTGGTGCTCATCCTCGAACTGTGAGTCATTTCAGTTTAACAATACATCAAAATATCTGCACAGTTAAAAGAAGGATTTTGTACATGCATGCCAAATCATCCCAGTGTTAAATCTTAAACATCTCTAAAGAAACTGCTTAACATGGTGCACAGCATTTTGCATGGTGCAGTCATTTTAAGATTTATGCTGGTAAAGTTTTGTAAAGTTTTTCTCAAGGTACATAGCGTGTTTGGTGAACCTGTTTACTGAAAACCTTTTGCCAAGATCACATGTGCTAGAAACAACCCGAACATCTCTTACAGAGTCAATAAGGCTTGTGTTGAAAAGAAGCCTCAGTGGGCCCCGTCTGGGTCCAGCAAGTGCCTGGGAACATGGAGGGCACAATTAGGACTAAATCCAATCAAAGCAGGGGTGAACTGACTGACAGAACGGCTCCTTTTAGATGCAGGATGACACACTGTGCGTCATTCAGTTGATTATGTTTTCTTTGTATGAATGTCATGGTTATGGGCTGGCAGCTAGTCAAAGGACACTTTATGTACCTTTTTTCAGCAGTTTTTCAAGGCTTTTACTATGAAAAGGTTGAGAACAGTGATTGATATGTAGGGCAGACCCACATTGTTACTATATACAAGCATATCTAAGGCATCCTAAACCAGTGCCTCCAAATCCCTCACTTTAGATAATGTTCAAGAGAGCCATAGCTTCAGATTAGGCCACAGGATGAGTCTCTAAGTGTGTGTGTGTGTGTGTGTGTGTGTGTGTGTGTGTTTTTTACAGGGTGTCTGGAGGAGAGCTGTTCGATTTCTTGGCGCAGAAGGAGTCTCTCAGTGAAGAGGAGGCCACTCAGTTTATCAAACAGATCCTAGATGGAGTCCAGTACCTCCACTCCAAAAGAATCTCACATTTTGATCTGAAGGTACAACATATTCCCTCTGTGCATCGCATGTAAATCTCTGTTTGTCTCCTGATGAAGATAAAGTTATTTACCTCCACGGCTACTGAACTGTGCGTACACGCAAGGTTAAACAGGACTTAATGTTAAATATATATATAGTAAGTGTCTAATGTACGAGCCGGTAGACTCTCTCCATTCTGAATCACACATCCTTCCTGTTTTCTGTGGCGGAGGTCCAGACTCTCCGATACAGACACCACAAGGTTATCTCTTTACTTTCAGAAAGCAGTGTCTCCCACACTACTGTCTGTTAGTCACTGTCCTGTTTTTCTGCAGCTGCACTCTTGATGCTCTTCATTTGGCAAGCCATCAGTTCACAATGATAGATCTGTGCACGCATTTCTGCTTAACATTTTCAAATCGGATGAGGAAAATTTGATCTATCTGTACTGACTGGATGTTTGATTGTGACCTTTACATTGATTTATAAGAATCCAGAGCAACACAGTAAAGCCTGAACTATGTTAAGTCTGCAAAATAAATATGCTTAATAGCTTAAAGGGGAAAGTTTGACATTTTAATAAATTAGCATATTTGCTATGCTTTCATGAGTTGAGATGAGAAGATTAATGCCAGCTATGTGGAGCTCCTGTTTGCAGCTGGATAACTTACTGTTGCTTAGCACAAAGACTGGAAACAGCTAGCATGGCTCTGTCCAAAAGGGACAAAATCACCTGCTAGCAGGAGATCCGTATTTAGCGTGCAGGCATGAGACTAGTATGAATCTTCTAATCTAACTCTCGACAAGAATGCGAATAAACTAAATTTTCAAAATGTTGAACTTTCCATTTAATATTTCACACTCACAAGTATGACTGTAACCGTTACTGATGTTTTTCTTTAATGCTTACACAAAAGGCGACTTTAACAAGGTAACTTGTTTTACTCAATGTTGTTTATGTATTGCCCAATTTCGGATTTAACAGAAATCTGTGGTCAAAAGTGCCTCTCTGTTTGTTCTTTTTGCACTTCAGCCTGAAAATATAATGCTGCTGGACAGGAATGTTCCTCTACCCCGCATCAAGATCATAGACTTTGGACTGGCTCACAAAATGGAAGCTGGGGCAGATTTCAAAAACATTTTTGGAACCCCTGAATTTGTTGGCAAGTGTTTTTATATTAGATATGTTTGTAGTGGAGGACATTTCAAGAGGAGGCTTGGTGTTTGGCCTATTTGTGATGCAGGAGTATGTGCTGTCTATTTTCAGCTCCAGAGATAGTCAACTATGAGCCACTGGGATTGGAGGCAGACATGTGGTAAGAGCCTTTAATTATATCTGACTCTGCTGCCTTCCATACAACATGCTGCAGTGCATAACTTTGGATTAACCTTGTGCTGTTTTTCACAGGAGCATTGGAGTCATCACATATATACTGTAAGTTGGGATGATTCGTGATTGTGAGTGGGAATTTAAATGTTCCTTGAGAGATTATCAAGGAGGGTGAATGAGGGTGTGAATGTTTGTGCTGTTGTTTCAGTTTGAGTGGCGCTTCACCTTTCCTCGGTGACACGAAGCAGGAGACGCTGGGAAACATCTCGGCAGTGAACTACGAGTTTGACGAAGAGTTCTTTAGTAATACAAGTGAGCTGGCCAAGAACTTCATCAGGCAGCTCCTGGAGAAGGACACGAGGTAAAAGAACTGACAAACAGCTGAAGGCCAAAGGTCAATTCTGACAATTCCAACACAAAGCCCAGCATTTAAAGTTTCGCTGCAATTAATCCTAAGCGCATTAAGTGTGCAGACCTGATCCAAATGAGAAAGAAAGGCCAGCCAGTCCACAGAAATCTAGAGCAAGGGTTTACACAATGTGATACACTAAATAAAATTATTATTTACACCTATGAATTACAACAGGCAAAACACTGTGTGATACTTGTCTCTCTTCTTCTTGTTGCTTAACATGTGTTTTGATTTAAATGCAACTCCAGGAAACTTAATATCCCTGTGAAAGCTAAGACCGGGTCCTAATGTGTTCCTGAGAGATTCACATCCTAAAGCATGACTGCTCACTGTGTTCTGATAGAGTTGCCCCAGTGTATTTACTCAGCTGCATTTTCATTTTAGAAAACGGATGACCATACATGAGGCCCTCAACCATCCTTGGATTAAGGTATGCACTGGATTTATGTCTATTATAGAATGTTTTTATATTCTCAAAAACTACCGTCAGCACCTCACTTCCTGCTACATGTGAAGCAACATTTAACAGCTAACGTCAAAGGTAACATATGGATAACAGGTTTGTTTCTCATAAAATGTTTGACCTGAGGCTCAAAAAGTACACAACCCCTTTTGATATAAGTTCTGATTATGTTCTGGCCTGTTGAAAACATACGTCATCACAGTCGCTGTATATTGTTTTTATCACTGCACCACACCCTCTCTCTCACCCTTCACCTATGAACACACTTAGCTCCAAACATCTTGTACAGCTCTCTTTTGCAGTCTGAAAAAGTCATTTTGTCTAGCAATTCAAGTGATCAAGACCTCACTAATTGTTGTTGTTTTTAATGGCATGGACATTTAACAACCTGAAATGTTGAAGAAGCCTACTCCAACATTAGCTGCATGTGAATGGTGTTTTGCTGTGGAGTCCCCATCCTGTTTGGATACAAGCATGAAGCCAGGAAACATAACCCACTCAACAGGAATGTTCATTATTTTTTGCTGCTCTTACCTGCCATGGCTTTTGCTGAAGGGTCACACACTAATCCATACAGTGCCACATCTGCTGGAATATCCCCCCATGTGTGTTTTCAAGATGCAACAATGAGATAGCCTCTCACTCAGTGTCCTCCCCCCCTCCATCCTTCTGTCTGAAGTCCTGTGACTACATGGAAGAAGATAGCACTGCCCCTGAGGCTGAGAAGAAAGCAGAGCAGCTGAAGACGAAGCGTCTAAAGGAGTACACCATCCAGTCTCACTCCAGTGTGGCCCAGAACAACACATATGCCAACTTTGAGCGTTTTGCTCATGTGGTGGAGGATGTCAGTCTGATGGAGACGGGGCTTTCAGAGGTGGCAAGAGCCCACCACGCTCTGCAGGGGGACATAGAAGCACTGCTCTCCATCTACAACGACAAGGAGGCCTGGTACAAGGAGGAGAGCGAGACTGCGAGGAAGCAGCTGTCCCAGATCCACTACGACTTCCATAAAGTGGAGGCCACAAGGAGGCTGCTGCAGGAGGACGTGAAGGCTATAGATGCCAGTCTGGAGAGCGTCAGTGGGAAGTACAGCCAGAGGCAGAGTCAGCTGGACGCTCTGAGGCAGGAGCTGAACTCTGAGCTGCAGTGGCTGCAGGAGGTGATGAGCTCTCTGCAGCTGGATGGTGCCAACAGCAGCATCCACAGCAGCAGTTTGAATACGGAAGTGAAGTAGGGGCTGACGGAGCTGCTGCATCAGTCCTGCAGGAGGGAACTGTGCCCTGAGGCCAAACAGCCACTCACAGAGTCTGGCTAACATACAGAAATTAAGACACACTTTTATTGACCTTAAAAAGCTAACAGAGTTTTTGAAAATATTTAAATTCAACAAAAACCTTTCAATGTATAGCTTTGTACCTTTTCTTTATTTCTATTTTACTTTTGTGTGAACTCTGTACGATACTTTTCAGTTAAAGTAATAGGAATTTGCGGAAATCCACATTTTGCATACTTACAGAGAGTTAAATGATATTTCTGTTATATCTAACAAACAGATATGAGAGTGGCGTCTATCTTCTCATCTAACTCTGGGCAAGAAAGCAAATAAGCATACTTCCTTTTCCTATTTATGCACTTTTCCTGTTTGATTAAGCGGGTTTGGTTTCTTTTTTATTTTGACAAGTAATGATAATGATGATGATTAGAAATGTTTTTACTCTGTTATGGATAGAAGAAGGATAAAACAGCAATTCTTTTCAATGGGATGTATAAGAAGTTAACAATTTTTTTATTGATTTATTTTTTCATTCCATTCTAATTTTTTAGACTGTATATTGATTTTTTTTTCTAGTGGTTAATTGTAAAGTTATGTGTCTAGTCATAAATGTTTTTTGTTTCAGATTATTTTTCATAGATTTAAATATGCACTTTTACTTAAGGTTGTATTTATTTATTTATTTTAAAAACCTTTCTTATTTCTTTCTTGGAGATGTTCTATGAGCCGACAGGAAAAACAACATCTATGATAAAACTGTTTGTTTTAAAATGTGTCACATCCTTATCAGTGGTTTTAGCTTTTCATCAGATATACACACTTCATGCATTTGCTGTGCACACTGACATTTTTCACTGTTGTCTACACACTGAAATAAAGGTTCATCATTTATTATGTATCTCATTAACAAATCCTTACCATTTGTGTTCTGAGATTTCAGTATGTTTCCTGTTGTACCTCAGATTATAGTGTCAAAATTAGATCAGTACCATAGCATTTTGTTTTTTGAACATGCTTGAACGTTTGATATCAGTATGATGTCTGTTATTTCATCCTTCATTGTGTCTCTGCAGCCTCTGAATCCCAGACAGGCCATGGTGAAGAGATTGTCAGTGGTCAACTTGGAGAACTTTAAGAGACAGTATGCCAGACGCAGATGGAAGGTAAAATAGCAATCAGGTTTCTATAAAAAATGTCACTATGATTGATGTTGACAGATATTCCCTTTGCTTTTATCTGTTCATCAGCTGTCATTCAGAATTGTAGCTCTGTGCAACCACTTAACTCGGATCATGAAGAAGGGCCACAAGCTGCCTGAGCAGGATGGGGTAAGAACTCACCTTTGTCAAGCTAACAGGAAATGGCTCAGTCTGGACTTAAAGTAACAGTTTGACATTTAGGAAATTTTGCACATTTACTTTCTTACTGAGAGTTAGTTGGGGGACTCTACTCTCCTGTCTTTATGATAAATATGAATCTACAGCCAGAAGCTGGTTAGCCTAATTTAGCATAGCATGAAGACTGGAAACAGGGTGAAACAGCTAACCCGGCTCTGTATAAAGGTAACAAAATCCGCCTACCAGCACCTCGAATTATCTCGTTATATCTCTTGTGTTTAATCCATACAAAAATTGAGGTTTAAAAGTGACAAGTTGTAGTTTTACTAGGGATTATGTGCCGGAAGATTTCCAGGAACAGTGACATCCTGGAGTCTTGAAGTCACCATGAGGTTGCATTAATCTACTTCAGGAAATCACCCCTCACGACCAAGAAGGCCAGCACATGACCCTTTGTCAAAAAATTGTTTATGCCTCTGTTTTTGTATGGATTAAACAAACAAGAAATTAAGTGTCAATTTGTCAATTTGTGAGCTTTGGAGATGCTGGTAGGTGGAATTTTTTACTTTAAGACAGAGCCCCCCCGTTCCGTTTCCTTTTGTGCAAAGCCAAGCTAACTGGCTGCTGGCTGAAGCCTTATATTTACCGTACTGTACAAACATAAGAGTGGAATCAATCTTCTCAACTAGCTCACAGCAAGAAATTAAATGAAAGCATTTCCCCCCTACAACAAAATAATCTTTATATTTTGTAGGTCCCTAGAACTGTCATCACCAACTCAAACATTTTGATTATTTCAGAGGGATTGTGAAAGTGACCAAGAAGAGGAAAACTCCACGAGGCGACCGAGGACCAGAAAGAGAAGCAGCACTTCCTGAGAACAACAACCAGCGACAAGTGTTTCGGTCAACGATGTTCCGGTTGCGAAACAGTGACTTTGCACCTTTTTGACGCATGCTTATCAGCTGTTACTTGTCATAAAGGATCAGCTACAGTATTTGTTTGAGTGACTGAGTGTAAAAGCAGCATTTTCATGGGTCAAGGCAACTTTGTTTGGTGACCCACAAAACCTGCAGATCATCTGCTGTAGGTTGATAGCATTCTGTCATTTCTCATTTTTATTTTCTTGCATTAGAAGATATAACTGGATTACTGTTGACAGGAACTGAAATACACAACACACACACAAGAATGTAGGCAGCTTCCTCTAATGACCGCAGTCTTAAAAGTCCCTCAGCTGTTGTTTAACAGCTGAGTGTTGACAGAGAGTTAGATTATTTTCTTTTTATTGTGCAGGCTGCATGTGGGGGTTTACAAGAGGTGCATTGTCCAAAGCTAAAACGGTTTAGCACTGCAGGATGACCAGATGGTAGCAGATCTTCATAACCAAATTTTTACATGTTGTTCTGCTTAACATACAGCAACATCTGTGTAAACTCACGGTTATACCGTTAACCTCTTCATTTACCACATCAGAATTACTTACCTACAGCCTGTACACAATACAGAGCTGTCTGTTTACTGTATTTAACTAGGATATTTTAAATTACTATAAATTACTCATGTCCAATGGGACAATAATTGCATTTCATTTTGTTACACATAAAGACAGTTCATAAATACTTCACATACACTCACTGGCCACTTAACAGGTACACCTCGCTAGTAACAGGTGGGATCCCTTTTGCATTCAGAACTGCCTTAATTCTTTGTTGCACACTTTCAACAAGGTGTTGGAAACATTCCTCAGAGACTTTGGTCCATATTGACATGATAGCATCATGCAGTTGCTGCAGATTTGTCAACTGCACATCCATGATGCAAATCTCCCGGTCCACTACATCCCAAAGGTGCTCTATTGGATTGAGATCTGGTGACTGTGGAGGTCACTGGAGTACAGTGAATTCATTGTCATGTTCAAGAAGGCAGTTTTAGATGATTAGAGCTTTGTGACATGGTGTGTTATCCTGCTGGAAGTAGCCATCAGAAGATGGGTACGCTGTGGTCATAAAGGGATGGACATGGTCAGCAACAATACTCAGGTAGGCTGTTGCATTTAAATGATGCTCAAGTGGTATTAAGGAGCCCACAGTGTGCCAAGAAAATATCCCCCACTCCATTACACCACCACCAACCTCAACCGTTGACACAAGGCAGGATGGATCCATGCCTTCATGTTGTCTACGCCCAATTTTTGACCCTACCATCTGAATGTCACAGCTGATATCAAGACTCATCAGACCAGGCAACGTTTTTTTCAATCTTCTATTGTCCAATTTTGGTGAGCCTGTGAAGTGTAGCCTCAGTGTCCTGTTCTTAGCTAACAGGAGTGGCACCCGGTGTGGTCTTCTGCTGCTGTAGCCCGTCTGCTTCAAAGTTCAAAGATGTGCCTTTCTGTCATCTCGAACCAGTTTGCACAATCTCCTCTGAACTCTGACATCAACAAGGCATTTTCATCCACACAACTGCCACTCACTGGATATTTTTTCAGACCATTCTCTGTAAACCCTAGAGTTTGTTGTGTGTGAAAATTCCAGTAGTTCAGCAGTTTCTGAAATACCCAGACCAGCTAGTCTGGCACCAACAACCATGCCACGTTGAAAGTCACTTAAAATCACTTTCTTCCCATTCTGATGCTCGGTTTGAACTTCAGCAAGTTGTCCTGGCCACGTGTACATGCCTAAATGCATTGAGTTGCTGCCATGTGATTGGCTGATTAGCTATTTGTGCTGATAAGCAATTAAACAGGTGTACCTAATAAAGTGGCCAGTAAGTGTATAAACATAGTTGAAGTTTATTTAAAAAAATTGTTATCACCTGCTATATATTCATGTATTTATGGTGTAAATATACATAAATGTCAGCCACATGTCTTAATTTCAGTTTAACTTACATCTTAGCTCATTAAAAGGAGACTGTTTCAAAATGCACGTACGTTTCTTTCCTGTTCACTTGTATGTATTGTAAATTGACATTTCTTTGTGTAATACATTAATGAACATGATTGTGTTCTTTGTGGATTTCCATAAATTCAACTAGCAATGATCCCAATTAGCTGCTAGCTAACTCTGGGGAAATTATTTGTGGCTGTCCTTGCAAAAAACATAAACAGTAAATCGATGTAAACATTACAAAATCTCATTATCCTTGGAAATAAGTCAGCGCTATTAAACCTTTTCCATTTTCTTTTTGGGCAGTAATATAGTAAAATGGTCTCTTTAAGTGTGATCTCAGAGCAAAGGTGTAATTATGACTAGATGTTGGTCTAGTAGTTTGAAAGGTATATCAGCATCCAGATGACCTCCAAGACATGATTTAGCAGGCATGCGATGTGCTAAATGATGTCTGTAGACCTACAACTGGACTCTTAACACTGTGATGCCCTAAGCTAATGTGCATGTCAAACCAAAATAAGAGTACAAAAGCCCTTGACAATAAGTACGGTATTAATTTTCTGAAAATCAGTGAGCAGTAATTGTGATCACGCACTTCTACTGATTTTTCATCCGGTCAGTTATTTAGTCTCACAACAGCCATGTTGTTTGGGCCCAGTTGGGCTGAAAGAGATTGGGGGGATAATTTGATCTGAACTAAATACATTTTTGGCAGTGACACAATCTAGGTCAGTTCCACACAGATGATAAGAAAGGCGTCATAATCAACAAGTGGGTCAGTCTAAAATCTATAAGCCTGTTTGTGCTTCAGTATCCCGTTACGAACACAAGCAATTTCATTCCACACAAGCAATTTCATTCCACGCCCCCAGTTTGTAACACAGGCTTTCTGTTAAAATCAGAGAACAACCCTTTTGACATTGCCAGGTTAATTTTTTCACTTACTTAAAGTGGAACATGCAATAAAGATACAGATAAAACAGCATATGCAACAATGCCGACATCAAAATAAGTAGAAATGATAAATCCCCTTAGAGCAACAGAAGACATAAAACAACTGAGTAGTACTCCTCCTCATGGTGACTAAACTGACATTTGTGTGTGTGGAGAGCCCATTTTAGTCTTCACAAGAAATACTGTGGGAGAAAAAACTGCACAAAGTTTGATCCACATGAAAACTAGCATTTTTTTTGATTCGTCTTTATATTTAAATAAATACACAGAGACAGCAGGAGGAATGAGTAATACACATTTTCCACATTAGATTGGGAAAAGTCTTGTGCTACAGTCTCCCTCTTATATATGATTAATATATATATACGATTTGGCATGCACTAATGTCTTCCTTGAATAAATGTTGTGCTTACATAGGGTGGAAATAGAAATAGTCATTACTTCAGCCTACAGCCTGAAGTAAAAAGGTGTTAAGGTTGCTGCTGATCAGAGCAAGAAGCTATCTATAGAGCTGTAAAGTAAAATGGACAGCCTGTCTCCATTTGTTCAGCAAGATTTTTGTAATTAATGGCAACCTGTGAGTTACTGGAATAAAATGAGATAACATGAGAAAACATTTAGAGCACGTTCAGGTCACTCATCTTTATCCAGCCTGATGGAGTCTATCTCCAGGCTGGTGACTGTAAATATTTCAGCCATGTCTCA